CTCGCATCATTTCTCTCTTCTTTGAATAAATCTCAACTACACAATTTTGCATTTTTCTTAAACCATGTGAAAANGGAGGGGGGTTGAATGGAGTATATTGTAATGATTTTTAATATCAAGTAGATGATTTCATGTGCAGTGACGGACAAGTACTTATGGATAGTTCCATCATATTTACATAAAATTTAATTCAAATTGGGGACAGAAAGCAAACATTTTGTGTCATTAAAGTTAGCCTCAAACTTCTGTTTATTGGGTTTCAAGTTAGGGATTGGGCTGAGCCCAAACTTGGCCCGTGCACACCCTTAACTGTCTGTGCATGTTTTTGTGGATTTTCAATTTTCAAATAAGTAAATAAACATTCATGCTCTGTAATTGATTGTTTTTCTATGATTCCGTGAATGCATCAATCAGGGAGGTTGAGGATTTTGCACGGAGGCTAAACTCTGTGTGGCCAGATAGGATGCAGGAGCTTCTATCTTTAGGTCAAGAGAGGAGGCTAGTACCCATATCCATGAACCTTAATGGCTCTCTAAGGAGATGTACAGATTAATCGTCACTATCATTTCCCGTCCAACAACACCACAACAGTGATTTGTTTGTTTTCTGAGTACGCCAATCAATTGCGCCGAGAGCTTTGTGCGTTGGGAAAATCTGAATCCTTTTCTGAACGTGGTTGGCTCTGGTGGGAGAATGACGATATAATGTGGCAGGTATTGGTTTTATACGACATAGCATGAAAGGGTAGGAGGGTAATTGGTGTTGTATTGTCTTCACAGTTACCCCCGTCCTCGTATAGAATTGTCATCTTTCTATTAGCTGAACTTTTTTTTTTAAAAAAAAGCTGAGTTCTCAAATCCCCCCGAGTCAGAAATTTTCCCCTTTAGTGTATGAGAAAAATCAAATGTAAGGAATTTTTCATCTTGTGGTTTATGGCAAAGCCTTTTTAGTTTCTTTATTTCCCCTCATTTTAGTTTTTCTTGTGACCACTTTGTGTTGGTATTCTTTTAATATTATTTGTGTGGGGGTATTTGTAACTGCTCGCATTTATATTTCCGGTTGGAGTGAGAAATGTATTATGCTCGCATTTTTATTATGTCATGTATATTTTTTTTTATTGATTTCTAGTTCCAGTGAAGAAAAAAATGAACAGTTGAGTGTGATTTACAGTCTGGAATCTGCAATCTTATTTTCCTACCATTTGAGCATTTTTACACACACATATATTGACAAGAGCACTTCAGTGCTCAACTGGGTAGACTTTATATGGCATTTTTGGACTCTAAGAACAACATGGCTGAGCTGTACTTAATATCTGAACATGTGGAATATGTAAAGTAACTTAGGTATACATGATTTAATTTGGTGTTTGGTTGACTTGTTTGCAGTTATTGAGAATTTTCAAATTGTGTTTTTGAACGGTTAATGTTGTAATGTAAATTTACAAATAGAAATGTTTACGAGTGCCTGTGTCTATACGTAGTATTTTCCCCCGGTAAAAATGACATGTCCCCTTTACGCGATGTTTGGGAAGAGGTAATAAAACCAAACTAAATAACGACGACAAAAAATGGAATACTATTGTACAAATACGGTACATAAATTTTGGTGATCGTTTTGTACTCTTGAAGTATTTGTACAAAATCTCAAATTTCTACGAGTATTAACATGAAGGGATAGATACACAACTATTTAGAAGAGTTTTGAATGGAAGGGGCATGAATGAAGCATAAACAAATCAGCACTCCATTAGTTATCCACATGAGAGGTTAATAACTATGACTCCATTAGCATGCACTACAGCTTCTCCTACAGGTGCCATAGTAATCAGGAGAGCCAACCATGAAAACAGGGTTCCTAGAACACTCCCCCATGGCAGCCCAACGGGGACAATTGTCGTCTTCGTCCACGCAATCATCGCTCACAATTGCATCCCTTTTGGCTCTTGAGACTGCTCTGAGGTAGAACAATTTTATGGCGTACCCCATTTTGCCCTCGATGACAGGACATCTGGCATGGGAGCTAGTGTCGTCGGGAGTTGCGTCAAGGTTGGAGTTGAAAAATAGAAGTGTGTTTCCTTTAGTCGGTTTGATGGTGCAATTACTCTCCCCGCAATTTGATTCGGAACACTGCAAATGTGAGTTTTCTATTGAGTCTAACAACAACAACAACAACAACAATAATAATAATAACAAACCCAGTAAAATTCCACAAAAGTAGGATCTGAAGAGGGTGTCTGTACGCAGACATTAATCACCTCTACTATGAAGCAGAGGCTATTTCCTAGAGACCATGATTCAAATACACACAAAGAAATCACCGAAGCACGAACTAAGTACGAACAAGGACAAACGGAGCTTACAAATCAACTTTAAGACCTAGACATAAAGCACATGCTAGACACTAAGGGGAAAAAACAAGAATAAACTTACCGTGGACTTGGGAAAAAGGATTTGGCCACCGGCGGTAACGTTGGAAAGGTATAATATTACTGTTGCCATTAAGGGTTCATCTTGAAGTTGTGTGGAGTTCTTGTCAAGATAACTATACGTTTGCTCGGGATCTTCACCCTCATATTGCAAAACCTTTAATGGCTTGCTATTCTCTGGGAGAATGGATGAAAAAATCTATCACACTCTATAAGAAGATATGACTTTAAAAGCATTTTTGACAGACAAAAGAACAAAAGATACCTCTGGGCAAAAAGGTCCAAGCTGAAATTCTTTCTTCAATTTCAGCTACAATTGTTTTATCCTAAATCAACCAAACATTCTATCTATGAAGTAGCGCGAAATTGCAGAAGAAGAAAAAACAAACAGTCCAAGCCAAGAACAAGCTCGGCCGAATATGAAACCTCTTGATTTGGAACTTACAGAAACCATCAATTGATCACACTCTTCCTCTGATAGAAATTCTTGGTATAAAAACACCCTATCCCATGTAAAGCAAACAACATCAAACCTTTAGACAGACCGAACTTTGTAACAAACAAACTGCATATGTATGTAATCACAACATTTTTGTTTTGGCCAGATTGACGAACACTTGAAAAGAGAGACATACCTTGGATGCCATGAGATTTGTAGGGCTCTTGAGGGATTGGGCATAGTAGGATTGGTTCGACCACCCGGCTTCACTTTTTGGTCTTGGATCACCTGCTTGATCCTTAATTCCTTTCGGCTGCGCTATCAAAAAATTTGGCACTGAATTCTCAACATGTGACATCAAGGTTCACTACCAATGGCCAATATATTATGAGCTTAAAAAGAAAAGTCTCAATATGTGATTCTAAATCCTAGTTCCTCAAAAAAAAAAAATCTTCAATTGGTAGACTTTCACGAGATTTAAGAAAAATTTTGAAAGTAAAATCTTTATGCTTAGAATTTGTTCAGAGGAAAGAAAATGATTGCGAGTCACTCATTACTTTCTTTAAATGGAAATGAATGAAGTCTTAAGTTTTTTTTTGGAATATTTTTCATAGACCTGTTTCGACTTTCGAATCGCGGTTGCGAGTATTATCCAACCACACCCTCCATCTCACAGAAGTCCTCACTTTCCTTTTTTATCCGTCCCAAATAAGTTTCTCAAATTTTCCATTTCTCTTTTTAGAAAAAAAATGTGGTTCAAAATTATTCTCTCTTCTGAACAAATCCAGAGTACTTGCTTTTCAATTTTCAACTATTTTTTTCTTAATCTCCTTGAATTCAAAGGGTCAAAGTGAACAAATAGGAACCATATGAAACATTTGATGTTAAATTCTAGTTGAATAAGCAATGCCAAATAGGATCCATATGAAACACTCAAATCATTGACGGTTGAGGACAATTTTGAAATGGGGGAAATTCCCAAAACTTTTGCAAATTCAAAGTCTAAAGAGAATAGAATAAAAAGAAAAAGAGAGAAAAAAAATGGAAAACTGAAATGCAGAAAAACGAATTTACTTACCTTTGGGAACGAAACCAATTGAAGCTAGTCGCAAGAGTGACGAGAATCAGAACTGAGAGAAGACGCGCCATTGTTGGCCAAGCGAGACGCTAAAATAGAAACACAAATGAAAAATAATTTATTTTTTTAATCCTTTCGATTTTTTAAATTGATTTATTTTTACTTAATATCTCTGGTGTTTAGTGAGAGGTCTGCTATATCCCAGGGAGAGACGATCTATGTGGGTAGAGAAGGTCATGTTTTGGGTGGAAATTGCAATTATTAGATACTTGGGGGCCATTTGAAACTTTAGAAAATTGCACTTAGCTTTATCTTTTGTCTCTCTCTCTTAAGGAATAGAACACAGAAACTAAAAAAATTATTACTAGTATCAATATGATTTTTTGTTGCATTAAAAGGGAATAATTGTAATGATAAATGCTCATATATTCATTCAAGTTTAATGATTCTCACGGTTCCAAAATAAACTTCTCATTTTCTTTTTTTATTGTATCAAAATAATTTCAATTTTTTTAACAAATAAAATGAGTGGTTGATATCAATTTTTACTCTTCTACATACAATTTCATTTTTCTTTAAATATATACTTCTTCCATTTCAAAAAGATTGTCACAATTTAATTTTTTTGATCAAACGGTGGTACTCTTTGACTACAAATTAAATACGGAGTATAATTTAAAATAATTAAATATTATAAAAATCTAATATTTTAAAACTATATTTTAAAATAAGTCCAATTTTACTAAATCTACATTATAACTAAATATACTTTTCCATAATTCGTGGTCAAAATGTGCTACAATTTGACCAAGAACCTCAAATTGTGACAATCGTGACCGATCATCCCCTCTTGACCAGTCCATCCACAGTTAAGGCCGGTCTTATTAAGTCACCTGTCATCAACTCAGATCGATTGACATTACAATGCTATTCTTGATCATGTCAATCGAAGGGGATATATGATCACAAGACACTGAAAATTCTGGATTTTCACGCGTATAACGGTATAATAGATTTTTTAAAAAATGTATACAAAAGAGTACAAAACACAAAATCGAACATATCAAAGTTTATTTTAGTATAGACAATTACACACACGATCAACCATTATTCTATGTAATAGTGTATATTGTGCAAGACAATACAGTACAACAAAAATACAAACAGAAAGAATTTATTTACTAAAAATAATGAGAGTTTGGTAACTTTGGTTTATTGAGTAGGAGCATGTGACCTGGATTCATCATCCTTAACAAACAAGCGATCTATCACTTCGTCCCAACTTTCTCTGCCTTTTCTGCTTCTCTTCGATGATGTTTCCACGGGTGGAGAAGAAGAAGAATGTTTCTCCTCATCCTCATCGTCAAAGGTTCCATATTCAGAGGGGGAATAAGCATGGGGCACGTCTAAGGTCACCGCTCTCTTTAGGGCAGCGTTATACTCCTTCCTCTGTTCTTTAGCCAGTGATTGTTGCCTCTCCATTCTCTGTGTTGCTGGGATCTCCATCTTGCCCTCCTTTTCTTGCATCAACTTTGCATCACACAATAACAAAGCTTGTTTTAAACAAGATGACTTTTTTTTTGGGCAAAAACAAGCCATTTTTTGTGAGAAAAAAAAGTGTTCGAAAAGTAGGGACTTACATCCAAGGCCCTTTGGGCTTCTTTCTCAATCCATATAATTGCATGATCAGAAGTTGCATTACAAGACAGAACTATGTGTTCAAATCTCCCGTCCACGGGAACAGCTGTTCTTACCGTTGGGGGAAACCTTCCGCATCTGCATTCATGCACACAAACAATGTATAACTCCAACTTCCTATTGTTTTACCAGAACAAGCAAGCAAAACAAGTAGAGTGTCATATACCCAAACTATATACAACACATGAATGCAAGGCATACCTGAAAGGTTTTCTCTCAACAATGTGATAGAGGCGACCGGGTGCATACAGCCTCCTTAAATCTTTGAGCTTCTTCTCTTCAGATATGCAAGTATCTCTCAAGCACCGGGCACATAGTAAGCATGGCAAACTGCTCAAGAAATTGGAGCATTCGGAAGGTTTAAAAGACCGTACGGAGAGGAGAATGTTAACATTCATAAAAAAGGATGAAATTTTTTGGAGTTTCAAGCATTTATTTACCAGAATAGTGACTTGAAGATGTCTTCCAATGGAGTCGCTGTCCGGGGTAAGAAATCATCCTGTTTCAGCGGCGAAGATGCTGTTAGATCTTTAGCACGTCCTGATGTTATTGTGAGTATACATTTAGATGAATATTCACTTTGTAAGAAAAACTAAGGACATAAATAGAGCTTGGCATGAAATGAGAGAAATGAGTTTACAACCAAATCAATGTTATGATATGAGAAAAGCATAAACAATAGCCATAACTGTGCATTTGGGATGACTTGTTTTCAAAGAATAAGCGCTTTATGTAAGAAGAAAAGTAGTTTTATTCCAAAAAAAAATAAGCATTTGACACGAAAACTAAATCACTTCTAGCATAAAAATGGCATGGAAAAGACAGAGTGAAGTTCAACCACATGACCGTGTTAGTTTCTAATTTTTCTTTTTCCTTTTTTTCATTTTTCAAGCTAAGTTTGACTAATGAAGAGTTGTAAGAAAAAAAAACAAACATGAATTACACCAAGCAATAACACTGTAAATGCACTGGAAAGAATAAGGCACATACCTGAAGTACTACAGAGTTTATCACATCCGAATATCTCACTGCAAGATTAAGTGACATACATCTAGCTGGTGCAATGGCAAAGCACCTAACCCTTTTTTTCTCAATATTCCCCAACCTGTCACGGTTCTTCACCGCCACTATTGTCAGCAATGCCGCCACACCTGACCCCAGAGAATGCCCAGTAAAAGTCAGAGTATAACTCGGGTATCTCTCGACCAAGTCCTTCAACATCTCACTCTCAGCATTTAAAACCCATCCGGCTGCTTTCAATAACCCGTTATGAACATATCCTCCTTCAAATGACCTCTTACCCAACCTATTGTCCAACAAAACCACATAATCACTCTCCTTTGCCAAATTAAGGCCTCTTATGGCAAGAACTATATCACCATGATCATGATCCAGGTACAACATATAAGGAGGCGCTCTCCCACAATTATCTTCATATGTTCTCTTCCTAATCACGCAATCTGGATTGATTCCATATCCTCGAGGGGGTTCCCATCGAGGATTTCTGAGATCATCCTCATAGACGGCCAATATATATCTGCAAAGCCTAGGGACAGGTTCGAATTCATCTGAGGCCGCAAGGGCCCATGTTTCGCTTTCGTGGCCTGCGGTGTGGAGACACCTTTTCCAAGCCCAACGGGCACAGCCCATACAGCACACACACTCAATGAGTGGAGGGGCACCACACAGAACTGACATGTCTTCCTCACAGATATTGGTAAGCAAATGAGAGATTACAAGTAGCTCCTCAAAGATCAACCCTTAATTGTGATGCACAGAATCAAAACAATAACATCAACAATAACAAGATTTACCAACAACAGCCACAACAGTATAGAACATTTACTGATTTGGGGGAATTCAATCCTTATATAAATCAAATCAATAGGGGAAAATCCGGGTACAAGACAATATAATTGCAGAACCCCCACTTGATTTTCAAAAAAAAAAACGTAATACAAGAAAAACCTAATACCTGGAATGCCAATTAGGAATCAAATGGTTGGAAGAAATAGAATCGCAAACGAAGTGGAAATCGTCTGAAGCTTTTGCTGATACCATGATTGAGAACTGATCGAGAGAACGGATATCGAAATCGTCCTCTCCGCTTCTTCCGAGACTGGAGAAGAGAATGGAACATATAGAGTGGTGGATCAAGCTCACATGTTCCATGCGTGGATTAATCATTGCAGAGTTGTTTGAGAATGAAGAAGACGGTCAACTGTGAAACAACCTACCCATCGAATCTAACTCATTTTGGATGGGATACAATGGGTATCCGGAGCGAAACCGGAACCGGAATGGCAGGTAAAGATTTCCATTCCAATTCTTAATTTTTGTCTTTTTATGTTTTTATATTTTTTGTGTTTATTTTTAATTTATTTGAGATTATTTCACAATATTTACTATGAATAAAAAAATTAGTCACATACGGAGTTTATAAATTTTTAGAAAAAAAATTATTAAAAAGTTAATTGAAACCAGTTCATAATAAGAATCGGAAGTGGAATTGGAACCTGGATCATTTGGACCAGCCCTACACGACATGGGTTCTAGACTTCTAGTTCCCCTAAATTTGGTACCGATACTTCGGTTTCGGAATTGATATTCGAACTGGTCCGGTACCGAGTTAAGCCCTTCCAACAACACTAGTATCACATCCGTGCGTTGCACGGGTTATTTTTATGTTATTAAATTTAAATCATTTTTCAGTGATAAATAATGAGATGCAATAGAATATAGAGATTATATTATTTTAAAGTACAAGACATCACTGCTTTACATGGTTAAACTTCATTCACTTTCTTTATTTATTTTCGTTAGCACTTTGATAAAATAAAGTTTTATCATCATTACTAGTTTTGTAGATCTTTTGATGTAGTATTTTAATATGTAATTTTTATTTTTTAACTCTATACCATTTGTCATACAAAATGATTTGAAAATAATTTCAGTCAAACATCGTAAACCGAAATAGGCACTATAAATTGGGACGGAGGGAGCATTATGTACTCCGTAATACTTTGTGCTTATGAAGGATGAAATTATCATTACTAGAGTGATGCTTGTGCTACTAAAATAAATGCAAGAATGAGTTAATCATGAGACAAGATTCACAAGAATATGCAAGATCAAAAGAATTAGTGTATGTTTTCTGTCATATGAAAAGTTTCATATTTTTGGTTTGTCCCCAAATTTCTTTTCTTTTCCCCCCTTCATTGGAAGAAGTTTCGTGGGTTTATAATTTTTCTTTACACTACACAAAAGCAACAACATATTTTTAACTTTATTTAAGATGTATGGTTAGAATTTGTTTAGACGAGAAAAAAAATTGGTATGACACATACATTGTACCCCTTTCGTCCCAAATTGTGTTTCAGTTTATGATGTTTGACTAAAGTTACTTTTGTTCAGTTTATATGAAAAATAGTATAGATTTTAAAAATAAAAATTACACATGTAAAAACTACATCAAAACATTAACAAAACTGTGGTGACATGACTCTATTATTTTATCAAATGTCTAATGAAAATATGAAAATAAAGTAAATAGAGTTTGACCATGTGAATAGTAAATATGCAATTTAATTTGGGACGGAAAAAGTATCATAATATTGGTGAATTTTTTTTCGAAAAAAAATCTTTTTTTAGACGGCAAAATAATTATTTCGAGAAATGAAAAAAGAGTAAATTCCATAATTGGTCCTTTATAACAGAGGGGTTTCCATATTTAGTCATTTATTATCAAATATTACCCCTGAAGTCCTTTTTTAAGGGTGTCTTTCCACAAATGGTCCTTTTTTATCTTCTTCCATGTTGGTGTTAATTTAAAGGCTAAAAGTATAATTTGACATCAACATTATGTCTAGTAACGTGTTCTGATATTGGTTAAGCAGATAACACAAAAATAATGACTATGATTGTGGGCTAGGATTCCGACAAAAGACCACATTTTTAGACTATGGTTGTAATAGAAAGCGACTGTAATTCACAAACGACGCAAACATGATAGAAGATCAAAAAAAGGACTATTTGTGGAAAGATATCCATAGAAGAAGGTCCACTGGGGTAATATTTGATAATAGAGGACTAAATAGGGAAACCCCCTACTATAAAAGACAAATTATGGAATTTACTCATGAAAAAATTATGAATAATGCATTCTTTATTTTTAATTGAAAAAGTAAAAGAAGGGTAAAATTTAATTTGACACAATAAAAAGAGAAGTGTTAGGAAGAAAATAGTAGAAGCTAAGAGCAACTCCAACCCATCATGTAAATATTAGTAAAGTCTAAAATATAAAAATACAGAACTTTCAATTGTAACGATCAAATAGATGGAATGACCTCAAAAGTCATTACCACAAATTTTTAGGACTCCTGAGTTATACGAGTAATTCAAATAATATGGAACTTGAGAGTTTTTATCAGAAAATCAAAATTACCTTAAAGTATATTTAAGATAATGTGAGACCTAAGAGCCGTTACATGAAGAGTATCCCAGAGGAATTTTCTATTCGAGTTGCTCTAAAGTCAAAATGGGTTCTTAGCCAAAACTTCAAAACCATAAATTTGGGGCCAAAACATCATTTTGCACACCCCTTAATGGTTACCCTTGGCAATTGGGCTACCCATTGCAATTGGGCCAACACTAATTCAAGTTTGGAAATTCGATTCCGTCCAACGCTGATTTTTAATCAAACCCTAAGAATTAGGAACATCGCGTCTGGTATAAAATCTTCCCATCGGCTCCGCCCACACCTTCGACTATCCGCCGTTCTTCCGTATCCAATCCCAGGTATTGCCCATTACAGTTGATGATCTTTCTTAAAGATCTTTTGTCAAAATCTGCTAATCCTTAACCTCAATCTCTGGATTCTGCTTGAGAATGTTTAATTTTACATCTTATGTGCTTAGATTGTTTTGCGTTGTGGTTTGATTTGATCTTGTTCGGTGCAGAAATGGCTCCGAAGCAGCCGAACAGTGGGCTATTCGTGGGGCTGAACAAAGGTCATGTGGTGACCAAGAAGGAACTCGCTCCGCGCCCCTCCGACAGAAAAGGAGTAAGTTTTTCATTAAGTTTTTCATTTGCAATTTCCTGATTCAATCGCTTTTTTTATTCGTGTTTTGCTTCATCTGCAGAGTTGTTGTTATGTATATTTAAGTTTCTGGTGATTGGATTCTAGTCTTGAACTGTATCAATAGAAAGAACTAGTTTCAAAGTTTCAATTAAGATGCACAAGCAATTTTGTGTTGCATAATCTGCTCACATTTTTGTTTCTGACAAATTTTTCTCTAGGGCTAATTTGTGTCTCTTCATTTCCACTAGCAATCACTGCTTGGTCAAAATGTTTTCTGCTCCCCATAGCCCATGTTTAAAAAAGTTTTATGTCATATAACGTACAACATATGTCATACCCATTGCATTATTTTTTCTATTAGTAGTAGCCTGCTTTGTTGCTTATCTTGTTTTTGGCTTTCAAAACTTGTCTTCTGCCCATCATCACTGAATATGCTTTCTGCAAATCTTCATGTAGCTAACATGTTTTCTGCCTATGATCACATCACCTATTTGTATGTTCTCTGCTCATTGTTACCTACATTACTGGAACTGATGTGCCTCCTATTGTCTGTTACTGTATGTTTTCTGCATATCTTTGCCTATTTAGTTGTGTTTTTGTTCATTATCATGATACCTCAAGTTCCCATTACTGTATGTATGTGTGTGTGTGTGTGTATATATATATATGCATCCCATGAGTTCAGGGAACATAGTATATATCAATCCTTGTTCCTATTACACCTTGAGCGTAGATTGTGTTCTCACATTTTTTTGACTTGTTTTCTTGCCTTCAATTTGTGTGGTTTAGAAAACGAGCAAAAGGGTACATTTTGTAAGGAACCTTATCAGAGAGGTTGCTGGATTTGCACCATATGAAAAGAGGATATCTGAGCTTCTGAAAGTTGGCAAGGATAAGCGTGCTCTTAAGGTTGCGAAGAGGAAGCTCGGTACTCACAAGAGGGCCAAGAGAAAGAGAGAGGAGATGTCAAATGTTCTCCGCAAAATGAGGTAATATTATTAGCTCATTTACATTCATTTCATCTAGGGCTGTTTTGGTACAATAATTTGCATTCTTGGTTAATATGATATCACTGAGTCGTTCATTATAAACTATGTTTTCGAAGTATAATAGTTGTCCATGTTCAAGAAAACACGTTCATCTGAAAAACAAAGGACCTTTATTGATGCAAAAAAAAATTAACATTTGGTAATTACCATCAATTTACCTGATAACTTTTTTCTTTTTGTGTACAGGGCTGGTGGAGGTGGTGAAAAGAAGAAGTGATCTCTGATATAAGGATCATTTTTTTTCTTCAAGAATTTGCCATTGTATTCTGTTTTTAGAGTATTATGTTGACTTCAGAAGCTTTCTTTTTTGATAAATACTACCATGCGAGTACTTGTATTAGTGTGGTTTGGAACACCTTCATGCATTTTTGGCATTGTTACTCTTCAAATCTATTTTCGTGGCAAATGACTAAAATTGAATTAAAAGCCTTGACTGGGAACAATGTTTTCAAATAATGTTTTTGAGTATATTTTTTATAGCTAGGATTAACTTTGGAAAATGTTATGTTAGGTAATTTTTTCAAAATGTTTTTTTCTATTTAAAATTTTTAACCGTATTATAGATAATGGTTCAAAATGTTTTGTATGGTAACCGTATGTTTCAAAATGTTTTGTATCTATATAAAAACATTTTTTTCAAATTGTATTGTTTTGTAACCGCATATTTCAAAGTGTTCTGTTTCAATTGGGTAATTTTTTTTCAAAGTGTCTTGTTTCTCTAAACGTTCATAACTGGGCAATTTTCCTAGACTAACTCAAGGCCTCAGCCCAGAGAATCTTGTTAATTTCTATTGGAGATGAAGTAACTAAGGTTTGTTGAATTTGAAAGGTTGCTTAATATGATATGCAGAGTTTGAAATTTAGAAGAAAATGATATCTTGAAATATTCACAAGGACATGTCATTGATTATCTTTTGATATCTTGAAATACTCACAATTAACCCCCATGGAATACATGACATGTCTATATTTCAGTAAATACTCAAAAATTGACATTATGAAATACTTTGTATCAAAACTTATATTTTGTCGCGCTCATTGAATATGTTAATGATTTTGCAAATGACCCAATAAATAAACATTTTAACATGATAATGATTTTAGCTAATGTGTAATTGTATACTAAAACATTTGAGGAAACATGTTAAAATGTTACTATTACATTAAGGAGCTGTTTGTTTCAGCCTCTTAATGGTTCAGACGTCTGAATGGTTTAGCACTTAATGGTTCATACTGTTTGTTTCAGCCTCTTAATAGTTCAGATGTCTGAATGGTTAAGAGATTTACCTCTGAATGGTTAAGTATTATACAGAGTCTGAATGGTTAAGACCTCTTATCTGAATTGATCAGACATTTGCTTCTGAATAGTTAAGCAATATACTAGCTCTTAATGGTTCAGACCTCTTACTGGTTCAGCACTTACCGATTCAGAAGTTGCCAAACAGCCCCTAACACATTGAATATAAAGTACTACGTAAGTTTTATAAATAGTTTTTTTTGTTGATTTAATAGTTAATAATTGCATACGAGTGTTTTTCATATAAGTTATCTTTAAATTTCAATATACTTTTGTGATATTAAGAACTCATTTTATGATAAGTCATTTAAATTCAAATATTATTTTTCAGTCTACAAAAAATTAATTATTCCGTATAAAATAGTTTTCAAATATAAAAGACTACAAATATAATATTTTAAAATTAAGAACTAGATATAAAATATAAAAACTTTATGTACTCCGTACTAAATAAACTTACTCTTAATCATTAAAACTTAAGCATCATTAAACTTTTTTTTTTGGAGGAAATAAAGCTCATGGAATAACAAAGTCGGGAGGGGCATAATCCCAATCATCAAAATAGTATCCGCCCGTCTAGCTAAAATATGAGCAACACCATTCAACTCACAACGAACATAAGAAATATAAACCCGCAAAGAAAGAGTGAGCCCTCACTCTTCAATAATCAAATCAAAATATGAGTTACCATAACCAAAGCTCTTGGAATATGAGTTACCATGGCCAGTGGCCTTCAGCCCTTCACAACCAAAGAACATTGAGCTTAATTATATTCTACCCACTTAAATTATCATTAGTAGTTTTGTACTCATTCCACTATCAACTAAAAGGGAGAATCAAAATGGAGAATCATTTTTTTAATTTTTTTTGACAACCACCCTAGCAAACTGTATAGCAACATTTTGAACACGTTGGTTCACAAGAAGAAACTTGATGTAGAGGGATGTGTGAAGAATATTCTGTGGAATGTAAAAGCATTTACGTTTCCAAAGATAGAGGGGAAAGTGAAATAGCGTTTTGATTGTAATTTGTACATATACTTTGTGATTTTAATGGAAGTGTGCATTTTGTTTAAAAAATACATTTTGAAACACTTTTAGAAACCCATACTTGATAGCCATTTTAAGCGAGCCAAACAAGTTTAAATGGACTCCAATTACCAAGACAATTAGAATAACAACTTGACCTCAAATTTCTAGAAATGAAGAGAAGAGCGAAAGTGCGAAACTAGAAAATCTTGTTTACGAAATACTTTTTTGTAAATCTGAATGGTAAAAGGGTCTCATTTTGTAATTGAAGTCTGAAATCTGGATGACATTAAAAGCTGTAACCTCTGTAATTTACAGCACTGTTTTGTACTTGAACACAAATTTATAGTTTTGCTATGAACAAATTGCCCGAGGGAGAGAACCTACACGAAGAAGACGAGCTCTGCAGAGAAGGAAGGAAATGGAGCTCATCATCATACTTCAGTAAAATGGGTTTTCTCATTCATATTTGAAACTGAGCCTTCCCACAGCTCTTCTAGTTCATTTCTCATCCAGGAAATCACAATGATGGGTCCCAGGGTTGACGGTACCTGCATTCCTCAGAAATGGTTTATAGCCAAACAAGGATTGTATGGAATGCCAATTCCATAATAGAAAGATATTATGAAGTTCAAAGTTTTGTCCCAAAATAAATGGTGTTTGACAAAAATGCACGCGTATTTAAGAGATGTTTTGGAATTGAAATAAGTTTTGTCCCAAAATAATTGACGTTTGACAAAACTGCATATACATAAAGGAGCTTTTAAAAAAATAGAATGATTCAGTAGTAACATTAAATAATGTTTGTTTTCTTTTTCAATAATCAATACTCAGTTCAAATACTCGTAATTCTATTAATAAGCAGGAGTAGTTACTTATTTGGCTGAAGTGTAATGTTACCTGTTGAATATAAGAGAAGAACACGTTCATATGTAATTATGTATACGAGCCTTGGTAAAAATGAACTATATCTATTGCTTGTTACAAAGAGAAAGTTAAACCATGAGGAAATAAATGGCATTCATGATGATGCAAGTTATGAGCAAATGAATGACATCCATGATGATGTCTTAATTCTAGATGACTTTTAATCTAAAAGGAGTTATTTTTTATTTTTAAAAAAAAGATGCTAAAACAAAAATTATGAAGGGGCTTCTTTTTTGGCTAAAACAACAAATATTTTGGGACGGAGAATGCATCATTTAACAATTAACACTTCAAAAAAGTATTATGAACATACCAAGTATAGAAGAGCTGGTTGAGGTGAGTGTGTCAAGATACCAGCAGCCAATGCAGTAACAAGTCCAATCGAATACCCAGTTAGAGCATACCATATGTACTTGAAACCTTTTGAGGATGATGTATCGCCCTTAGAAGGGGACACGACCAAGTCATTCACGGACTCCCTTCCCTTTCTATGGTCATAACAAAGAACCAATGCTAAGAGCATGGAGGGGACTGCCTGAAAGACCGATAGCATGCTATGATTCACTCTTTAGTCATCAGTATGAAATACACAGAGTTACATTACACATATATTGCACAATGAATGAGTAAATAGGGTGCTGATTGCTTGCGAGAAAATACAACAACAACAACAACCCAGTTAAATCCCACAAGAGTAGGGTCTGGGGAGGGTGTGTGTACGCAGACCTTGCCCCTACTCGAAAGTAGAGAGGCTGTTTCCAAAGAGACCCCCGGCTCAACATCGAAAGTTGCAGTGTTTGACTAACTGCTACTTCATTAATTAAAGAAGCGCAGATAGTTTAGAGATCCATTTTGATTTATTCCATCACACCCCAAAGCCAAAAATGGTGAAATTTTGACTCCATCGGAGATGATGGAAAAAAATAGCAGTATGGGATAGTCATTTATTGGGAAAACATTTTTCCTGCAACAGACTGGCACGATAAATGCTTATTTTAAAAAATAAAGGTCATATAGTATACCATGTCTCCAAGACCCAACATCATGAAGTCAGAAGCAGCATTTCCTGGAACTAGACTGCCAAACAGATTCCTGGGAAAAACAATTTTGACAGGCAATTCAAGTTTCTTTGTAATCAACTGCAACCCGGGAAGACTCAAGCTATTAGCCACCGTGTGTACAGGATTCGAAGCTTGTTGTGTTGCCACAGAAACCATCACATTTGCTCCAAAAAACCTCTCAGAAAAAAACACCCAAAATATGTCATACACAAACAGACAAACCAAGAGCACTGCACATATCTTGATGTTAGGAAGGCGGACATGGCTGACAAAAGCAATACAAAGAGAAATACCCAACAAGTTGTTCAAAATCCAATTCCCGGAGACAAGCCAGGCTAAAACCGTGCCAACACACATCACGGTCAGGAACACTTGGATCCGGGTAAGTGATTTAGAACAACATTTGGATAAGTAAGGATCGGATAGTCCAAACGAGGACCTAATTTGAGCAACGTAAGGTGACAGGCAGAAGTAGAGTGATGTGGCTGAAGCAATTGCAGTAAAAGCCGTGAGAAGTTGTGCCATGGAAGAGAACAAATAGAACATCATAAGCAAGCTGCAAGAGCTCATTATGGGGATCATTAGCGCCTGCGATCTGTCTAGAGTGATTGATGCTTCTGATAAATCACGGTTCCGTTCCATTTCCTTTCCATAGTTTAGAGCTCGAAATGCAGAAGCATACGAGACGAGTATTGCAGTCAAAATGAGAGAGAGCGAAGCTGGCTCAAGCAAATATATTAGCTTCCATAGAGACTCCATCTTCAACAAACCTAACAGTCTTTCTTTTCCCTATTCGTCCCTAGCTTGAGTTTGGGTATCTAATCTCTCACTCGTCCCTACTCCGGTATTATATTATTTTGCAAGTCCAAGGCTGCAAATACTACGTCTTTCCTTCAAATGTTATGCAGCACAATTTAGGCCCTCTTAGCATATCCAAGAGACATACAGCCTGAAAATTTCGAATTCAAATCTTATATGCAACTGTATCAGAACTTGCCAGCCAAGTAAAAATTGTGTATTTACAGTTTACACAAATCCATGAACAATGAACATAAGCTATAATCATCTAACTAAGCAAATCTCCCCCCAGGACAAGCATCACCAACCAAAGAAAACAAATCTATGAACCAGAACAAAACACACGGTTTGTTTTATTATTATTATTATTCTTGCTGTTAAAGATCAGTTCTTTCTTGTTCTAGAAATTGATTGGTGGGTTTCAGTTGATCAGTTCGAATTTGGATCGAAACTGAATCAAATGATAACCATCTTGCACAGCCAAGAAAACAAAGAGAACCGATCGTGATTTTCAATTCAAAGGAAACCAATTCATAAGTAAAGCACTGATGAATCTAAACAAGAAAAGGTGAAATCGATATGAGGCTATGAAATAGATTTGAAGAAAGAAGCTGGACTAACCTTGGACTTGATGGATTGAATGAACGAGGGAGGACTGGAGGGCCTACTGCTCGCAGTACATGACGGTGAAATGAGTCGGATTTTTATCGAAGATGGTCTTTGAGGTAGGGACAATCTAGGAGGACTAGCCTCAATTCAATCATAAATTATCTAAATCCGAATTGAGAAAAAATTATCCAAACTCAATCTAAATTGAGATCGGGTTTGAATCTTGAAACTTAAACTCTACTCGAAACTCGACCCAAATGCGTGCATAATGATTTTTCAATATAAAAAAAAGTGAAACAATAAGAAAAATATATCTCGTTAAAGTTATTTCGCATTATTCTTGCTCCGAGCGTTGCTTTTTGAGGGCAAGTTTTGCCTCTTTTTCTTTGCGCATTTGCTCAAGCTTCTCCATTCTGGCTTTTTCTTTAACCCGAAGCCTCTCCGCTTGCATCTCCGCAAAGGCAGACAATGAAGTGGTGAGGTGCTCAAACCCTTGAAGTAAGGGTTCAGGTTTGGGCGCCATGCGCGAGGACCCTTCTCTTTTCAGCGCAGGATTCCTTCTGATGGGTCGTTCTAGCTCCGGTGGTGTAGGTATGTCGTCATTATCGTCACTCATACTTAGCATCCAACGCGCATCAGACATGCCGGGACTATAGTTGCTGGATTCCGATGTTTTGCTTCCCTTCGTCTGGGATACCTCGTTTGAAACCGGCGGCCACTTAGAACATTTGTGGAAGATGTCCCACGTTCTAAGGTGCGGAAATGAATAAGAAAATTGTGCTTGAAACTTTACAAGCGCTTGCTACAACACGTCTTGATCACTTGAACCGCTCGGCGCTCGCACGATTCACATAAATATTGTTGTACATACAACTAAATTTTTGAAGTTTTAATTCATATCGCGATATTTGGAAGATACAGAGTGAACGAGGCGGTACGACTCTAATGCGTGCATTACACTCAAATATTTAAAAAGTTTTTTAAAAAAACACTATAACTCAAAGGAGTGGATGAGAAATGTGTAGAAAATATGACTTGAGTGTTGTGTTTAAATAATGAAAATTTTAAGATTTTTTGATTTTTTTAATTCTCCAACGGTTAGCTTTCAAAAAAAATTAAAATCTGAAAGTTTGGCTACGGGAAAAACGGCAAGGGGACCCTCCCCTTTCCATTCCCGCTGCTTCCCGTCTTCCCGTCGCCCCTTCCCGTGGTCATACAGGGGGGTTAGTCGGTTAGGGTTATAAATCTTGAATCATCCTATGACATTATTGATTAGTGTGACATGATAGGCTATGAATTTTGAAATATGAGAGAGTCGTATATATTTCAAAATTTGAAATAAATTTATTTGAATAAATTTAAAATAATAATTTAATTAGTCTTATACTCGGTACATTTTTTTCGCCTTAAATTCTCCCAACCGAATACGGAGTAAAGACACTCAAGAATGAAAAGAGGAAGAAAAACGCTCACAAGTTTCAAGTTTCAAACATTCGGCCACAACGGTTTCGCGTTTTCTTCGCTCTCTCTCGGAAAGCCTTCCCCTCCTCCGCCCCCAGCTAATTAGCACTTGCACATTTTCTTCACTCTATCGGAAAGCATTTTCCGACTATATCCCTTGAACATCTAGGCGTTAATCGGAGCAGAATTCAGTTCGTCGGAATCCGGATTAGGCGCCGGGACGATGTGTACCGATGCGTTAGTGACGCTTGGCTTCGTTCTGCTGCTGCTGCTGCTCACGCCGGCATCAGCTGCGGCGGCGGTGGAGGATCGGCTTCTGGTGAAAATGACGCTGGTTGAGAACGCCTCCGATTTCGGAGCTTGTATGCACAGTAACGCTTTTTTTTTTTAATAATCGATTTTATTTTAATTCTCAAATTATGATTTCAATTATTGATTGAATTGGTGCGTGTTCTCTACGCAACGCATCGATTTAGATTGCTTGGACGGAAGTTTGCCGGCGTATCACCTTCACAGAGGATTCGGCGCCGGAGCTCGGAATTGGCTTCTGCAATTTGAGGTAACTCTTGTTTGGTACGAAGTACTTGGTATCTAGTATCGATTAGTTAGGTGGGGGTGACTAAATTTGTCAGAATTTTTAAGCACCAATGATATTTTCTATAGAAAAATTTGCTCTATAGGACCAAGGTATGACATTTTCCTAAATAAGACAAGTATGTTTTATATTTTCTATGATACATAATTTTATATGATCTGTTATGTATGTCCTCATTAGCAACAAGTATTGGATAATGACTGTTTATACAAATGACTTTACGAATGTGGTCATTAACAACAAATGTTGAATAATGACTAATTATTTTAATGACTATTCAAATTGTTTTTGATAATGTCTTATTTTACTTGAATTATGTAAGATGTCATTTTTCTCAAAGTTAGGTCATTTTAGAATTTTCCATTACCAAATGTTAGAGTGGATTAGACTCTTCCTATTTGAAGAAAAGTGATAGGTTTAAGTCTCAAATCCAATAATTAGAAAGCTGAATGCAGTTTGTGTTTCTTCTAATTAATACTTCCTCCGTCCCACTATATTTGTCTACTTTCATTTTTGCACACCATCCAATACATTTCTTTAATCCATTTTATCTTGTAATTTGTATATTAAAAAATTATAGAAATTATATATTAATAATCTATATGTTAAGACAAATCAAACAAGATCACACATGACTATATTTAGGCTTACACATTGAGAGAATTTGATGAGTCAAAGTGCTTAGATGAACAATTCTAAAAATCAAAAGTGGACGAATATAGCGAGACGGAGGTAGTACTCGGTATCTAAAGTCAGTCTCTTCAATCTTCAAATTGCATGGCAAATTGGCATATGCCTTATGTAAGAGTATACAATAAGATTTAATTACTTTATTTGGTAAACTAAAGGGTTTGGAATTATCGAAAATACACAAAAAGCTTGGTTGGTGTAGAAATCATTTCGTCTCGGATAAAAAATGTTCGAAATTTGACTTTTATGGCCTATGGGTCTGAATAATACAGATGAGTGTTCAAAATATAATTGTATTTTTTTATTATTTTAATAAAAGAAGCTTGACATAAAATACTCTGTAAATTGTGGATCTGTTTTGACAACAGGGTGGTGGGTGGTGCAACGACATCAAAACATGTTTGGATAGATCTGCAAGTAGGCGGGGATCAACAACTTATATGAACAAGTGGGAGGTATTTTCTGGCATTCTCAGTAACAATGCCTCTCTTAACCCTGGTATGCCCATTATATTGCCCTCACCCACTATACTATCGTTATCCAATATTTTTCTATCTTCAGTCCAACAGTTTGATAAAATTAATTAAAAATATATTTAACTATATTACGTACTCTTCCGTAAAAGCTAATTAAGAGATGGCACTCTTTCTGTTTCTATACAAACCATATTGAAACCATAGGGGGGTGTGGTGCATTTTCCCCCAAACCATATATCCATTTTGCTTTTGGGTTGTTTATCTTTTAACCTATAATATCTCATTAAAAAATTGCTCGGTATAAAAAAATATTACTCCGTATAAAATGACATATCAATACAAATATAATAGTATGCGGGGTAGATTTTATATTTTTATTTATTGTATATTTTGGTATATTCCTAGCCAAAATTCAAAACGGATATTTATAAAAGAATGTAGAAAGTAGTTCCAGCTCTTTTATAAAAATAATTCCGGTTTGGTGTAAAAAAAAGTAGTTCCAGTTTGTAGAATGAATAATATTTGGAGAAAATATTCTCTGTATTTCTGATTATTAAATAATCCCAATATCCCATATGTCAGGAAGTTTATATAAAAATAAACTATACTAGGAAATATTTAATAAATCAGAATATACATACATACATACACACACACTGACACACACACACTCATATATTTATACACACACAGTTCAATGCATTCAATCCCATATTCCCATGTGAGGGACGATGGACAATCAATCATTATCCTTGTTAGTTAGAATCATTTATGTAGTGTTTAAAACTAGGCACTTATTTTGCTCCTTTTTAGTTCCAAAAAATATAATGTCTAAAAGCATTTAAAAAAACAAAGAAGTTGAAGTTCCAGTCTATTGGCCTGTTAATTGCTTCACACTTTTAAGTTTTAAGTCAACAAAAGATCAAATAGTACTCCCTTTTGTCCTCAAATTAGATTTAACTTTTGTTTTTCCATCCCTTCTATAATAAACTTTAAACTTTTCTCTTTTAAAAAAAGAATATACGAATCACTATCTTTCTTTGTTTTCCAATCAAATTTCTATCACACTCACTCTTTTAGAGATGGAGGGAGTACTTTTGATTTTTTCGAGTCACAACCATATTTTTCTACCGCATAAAAAATGTGTATTTCATATTCTTTGTTTTTTCTTCTAAATAAATTTAATCCATAAAAGTCCATATCTTTAAAATAAGGGTGTACAATGTACATTCACCCACAGTTGACACCAATCAATTTGGGATGACATATATCTGTGAATATGTTCTTGCTTTAAGCCTTAAATATTTCTCCTAAATACTCTGTATTTTTTAAGCCTGTACACAAATTATTTTTGTCATTTTTTCCCATTCAATCGTCCCAATTTTCTTGACTCGCCAATTTCGGTATTATGCACTCCTATATGGCTCACATCAAAATATACTCTATTCATTTAACAACAAACACTCAATATTTTTCTAAATTTGTGCGACCTTTTCCATTTTCCAGAAAATAGTGAGACACTTGGAATAGTAACTTAAGATCCTCAAACCCTAATACAGGAGGTGTCAAAGCTTGGTCTCTTGCTGTTCGTCAATAAGTCAACTAACCACTTTTTAAACAATTAGGGAACTGAACAACTGAAGTGTAGACTGTAAAATCAAAGAACCAAATAGAGCTATTTTCCCACACATATCTCTGCTTTGTTTTGGCAAGGACACATGGAAGATAATGTCATTGTACTCTACTACTGAACGGAGCATAAAGATAATTTTCGTCAGAACTTTCATAACACACTCACTACAAATTCACAAATTTGCAAATTTACAGTTAAACCACAAATGCAGATTTTTACAATTGGAACCGGGTGAAGCTTAGGTATTGTGATGGAGCATCATTTGCCGGAGATTCTAAGTTTGACAATGGGGTAAGATTTGGAATATTAAAATTGGCAAATTTTTTACAATTGTCACATGTGGTAGCTCTTGCAATACTGTAGTCTGTATAGATCCAAGTACAATGCTCTTTCTTTCTCGTTTTTTAAAATGTATTTTCATGTAATTTCGATGGAGAACATTTTTATGCATGGTTCTTTGCATTTTATTTTTTTGGAAAAAGTTGAAGGCAGACTAAAATCTGCTTCTCTACCTAAGATACTTTTATTACTTGTGTCTCCCCATGTTGGCTTTAGATAGAATACAAGATGTGCACAGTTAAAATAAATCGGTAAATTTGTTTATTTGCGTCTTAGCCCATTTACAGTTGCAGTTGGAGTTGACTTAGGATAATGCCCATGCCACTTAAGTGCATATCTCTATTATGTGCTCAATTTTAAAAGAATGTTTTACGTGTAATGAAATGCAGACAATGTTGCTTTATTTCAGAGGACAGAAAATCTGGCAAGCTATTATTCACGATCTCCTTCCAGAAGGCTTAAGCCAATCAAGAAAGGTAATTTTGAATTTGATGTCTTTACCTGCTACTTCTATTTTGATTTGAAAATTGAGAAAAATAACCTTTTTTGATTAATAGACTTTAAGCTATTACTCCAGTGTATTATGTATTCTGCTTGTAATTGTCCAGTTATTTGGAATAAACAGGTAGGTCAAATGACCTGACTTGCTGGACCTTTTGAGTCTATCATACTATAGTCAAATTTGAAATATATACCCCCATTCACCATGAATAGTAGTCCTAACCAAAACTTTTGATAAGATTATTAGAACAGATCATTTTTCTGCACGTTATGGTTTTAATGTGCGATTATGTTTACCATGTGGTTGCCTTTGTGGATATAGTGTTCTCACTGCCTTCATTTTTAGGCTCTGCTTTCTGGTTGTTCTGCCGGTGGCTTGGCAACTTTTCTGCATTGTGACAACTTCACCAGTTATCTACCTAATACCACAAGTGTCAAATGCTTGAGCGATGCTGGATTCTTCCTCGATGAGTACGTTTTGCTTATTTTAAATTAAAATGTCAGATTTATATCTCAAAATTTTGTTAGCCTATCATAAATCAAGAATTAGCGTACACATAAAAGACTATAAGTGAAGAACGTATGCTGAAAGATTTATGCTCGTACTTCAGCCCTTATATATAGTTGGAATTATTTTAAATTAAAATCTTGAAATGTGAACTATTCTCTTCTAATAATATCAACTTAGACGCACACTTCCATTGGCCTCTATTTACACCATACCGTTAGCCTCTCCCATGCATGGCAAGCAGCGCTTTTTAGAGCATTGCATATTTCATTTAACTACAGTGCATGCCATTTTTCAGGAGAGACATTAGTCAAAACTATACCATGAGATCTTTCTACCAGAACATGCTTTTTCTACATGTAAGTCTTTTTTCCCCTACATTTAAGTCTTGCACCCATAGTGTGGGGATAATATCGAGGTTTACTTTACCTGGCGAGCGGAACATTGTTTGACAGGCAGCAGGACACACTCTCAACAGAAATTGCACCGATTCTCTTGCCCATCCTGAACTGGTATAATCATCTTTGCTGTAAAAAGTATAAACACCTTCCACATGATGGCACTATTAACTGTCAATCTTATGATTTGTTCATGCAGTGCATCTTCCCACAGTATGCACTATCTTACATTCAAACACCATTCTTCATCCTAAACTCTGCATATGATGTGTACCAAGTAAGATCATCATCATCATCATCCATGTACTATTACTATTAGTATGTTTCCATTTGTTTGACACTGGAGGTGAAAAGTTGATGACAAAAATTACAAAACTAATGCACTGTCTGCAGTTCCATCACATACTAGTTCCACCTTCTGCCGATCCTGGTGGACATTGGAAAGGTTGCAAACTCAACCCAGCAGCCTGCAGTCAGTTACAACTTAGAACTTTGCATGGTCAGATGATTGTTCTTTTCATTTCTCTAGTCCTGTACGGAGCATTTAAATTATATATGAACATGTTCCGTGACGTGCATGTTGATTTTTGCCTTGTCAATCTTGTAATGAGACGTGATCACACGAATATGAAAATGTTATCTTAATGAGTGCGTAGTTGTATGATGACATTAATGTGCAGGATTCAGAAGAGACATGCTTGCCGATCTCAGAACTTTCTATTACCACTCCGTAAGAGGAGGGATGTACATAAATTCATGTTTTGCTCATTGCCAAAGCGAGACTCAGGACACATGGTTTGCAGTTGATTCTCCCCGAATAAGAAACCAGGTCCCCAAAATATATATCATTTGGCTCTTAAACCCTTCATCCAACACTCCAAAGTGATTCATAGACACATGCAAAAACCTAACAAGTATTATTGCTGCTGAATCTTTAAATCTCTATACATCTCTATACATACCAACAAAACATTTCTTGCAGACTATTGCAGAGGCAGTTGGGGACTGGTATTTTAGCAGAAGAGTAAGCAAACAGATTGATTGTGCATACCCATGTGATTCTACTTGCCATAATATCATTGGCTGACATATACACATAGATCCATTTAATGGTGTACATAGATCAATACACATAGAAACTATTTTTTCTTGATACTCATAAAGTCACAGGAGGAAAATGTTACCACAAAAGAATATACTTTGTCCCATTCTTAGTGTAGGGTGTTTACATTGTTGTTACACTGATATACTCGAACGTATGTATTGATTCATTTTTAATTTTTTTTAGCAAAGAATAAGAGCAGCTGTGGAGTGCTTTCTTGATCTTTCTTCTAGTTTTTGACTTTTATAGTCAATCAAGACGATCAGCATTTGATCTATAATCAACTAAAATTGAAGTGCGAAGTAATACGTATGCTAAATAGAAAGTGCCGACCTTTTTTCCCGAGCATCACCACATTAAAAGCAAGAATATGCTTAAATCCCAATCCTCCAAATTTCTTGGGAACAGAGAGTCGACCCCAAAACATCTAATGAATGCCACTCTTGTGGGGAACACTGCCCTTCCACACGAACGCGTTCATTGTTCTTTCAATACATCCACAAACTGACTTGGGAAGTAAGAACACGCTCATTGCAAATTAAGGTATATCATGTGCAAGAGTTTTAAAAAGTACCTCCTTTCCTGCTTTGAACAAATTTATTTACCAGTTAATTGAGCTAGCTAGTGTCATTGCACATCTATCCATCTTCACAACAAATTTTAAAATTGTTCAATTTTTTCATTGTCTTTGTGCACAACAAATTTTAAAGTTGTTCAAATGGTTCATTGTCTTTGTACACCAAGACAATATATAATTACACAGAGTTTATAATTTAGCCATATAATTAACAACACACTAAATTCCTCCAGTCCATATCTTGATTCCAAGTATTAAAAATCGCACACATTATTATTATTTGATATTTTATTGTGGAACAAACCATAATAATAATAATAATTTTAATAATAATAATAATGATATAAATAAAATACCATGCCCACACATTAACATAATTGAAACACAAACTGGTGGCACACTGAGGGCCTGTTTGGTTGGGAGGGAGGGGAGGGGAAGGAAAGGATGAGAAGGGATGAGAGGGAGTACCTTCACGGCTTCACCTTTTTTGATTGGCGGAGGGGAGGGATAACTTTAATTTTTATATTTTACTTTTAATTTTTTATTTTTTAAAAATAGTATTTATTTTAACTAGTGCTAGTTTTTTAACAGGTTTAATTATTTTATTTTGTTTATATTTATTTTGTTTCTTGTTATTTTTTATTTTTTATACTTTATGTTTATTACATATTTATTATTTTAATTTATTTATAATTTATTATTAATTTTTAATTGATACTGTTTTCATTATTATTTCTTATTTATTTATAATTTTATTATTTATTTATTATTTTCTGAAATTTAGTATATATATATTCATTTATTTATATTTTTATATCTTTATTACTATTTATTTTATTTACTAATTTATAATAATCATTATGATTAATATGATTATTCATTATTTTAATTTTTTTATTTATTTAAATACTATTTATTACTTATTAATCTTTTTATTATTTATTCATTATTTTTTGAATTTTTATTTATTTATTATTGTTTACTTTTATTATTATTTATTAAATTATAATTATCATTGTTATTAGTATGATTATTTTTATTTTTATTTCTTATTTATTTGATCATTTATATTATTATTTTTATTATTTTTTGCAACATTATTATTTTCTCATATTATTATTATTATTATTTTAACGACAATGGCAAGAGAATCTTGACAAAAAAAGAGGAAGAAGAGAGCAGGGACGGAGNGGGATTTTTTTTTTTTTTTTTTTTTGTTGATATTGAGGGATTGATTTGGACTTTGGAGGGGTAGGGAAAGAATTGATGATTAAATTTTGGATGCCCTCCTCTCCATATTTTGAAACCAAACAAGAGGCTCCCCTCCCCTTCAACCAAACAGGCCCCAAGAGTTTTGAGCAATTAATTGGTGGAGACGCTATGGAGAACAACAGTCTCGACAGTGAGGCCCGGCCCAAATCCAAAAAGTACTCCCCACTCCAGCCCCTCACCAGTTGTGCTAAGCCCATCTTCCTTCGAGGCCTTTCTCATCTCGTCCAATATGAACAAGACGCAAGCACTGGTCAGGTTCCCATACTCCCTCAGCACGTGCCTCGTGGCCCGAAGTTTCTCGGGCCTCAGGCCCAACTTCGCTTCCACCTGGTCTAGTATCGCCGGCCCACCCGGGTGCGCGATCCAAAATATGGAGTTCCATTCGGAGATTCCTAAAGGTTGAAACGCTTCCTTTAAACTCTTCTCTATGTTCTTCGATATGATCTCCGGGACGTCCTTCCGCAGGTGGAACGTCAGGCCCACCTCCCGAAGTTGCAAGTCGATCGCCCCGTGGCTGTCGGGCAAGAGAGTTTGGGCCGCAGTCACGAGCTCAAACAAGGGCCTCTCCAAGCCCGGGAGCGGGTCCGATCCAATTATGAGCGCCGCGGCCCCATCCCCGAAGAGGGCTTGGCCCACCAGAGAGTCCAAGTTGGCATCGCTCGGCCCACGGAAAATGATGGCGGTGATCTCGGAGCAGACAACGAGAACCCGGGCGCCGCGGTTGTTCTCGGCGAGGTCCTTGGCGAGGCGGAGGACGGTGCCGCCGGCGAAGCAACCCTGCTGGTACATCATGAGCCGATTGACGGAGGGTTTGAGGCCAAGAAGCTTGGTGAGCTGGTAGTCGGCGCCGGGCATGTCGACGCCGCTGGTGGTGCAGAACACCAAATGGGTGATTTTGGACTTGGGCTGGCCCCATTCCGTGAGGGCCTTTTGGGCCGCTTCTTTTCCGAGCTTTGGGACTCCTACCACAACAATGTCTTGCCTCGCGTCCAAGGAAGGTGCCATGTACTCGCACATGTTGGGCTTGTCTTTCAACACTTCCTCTGTCAAGTACAGGTAACGTTTGTTGATCATTGACTTCTCACCTACAAAATGATTTAAACAAAGTCAAACTAAGATTTTAACTTTTTAAAGAATTACTTTTTCCATTCATTTTCAACTATCCGTTTTGATTTAATTTGTGTGTCAAATATTTGAGTAACTGTACGTAAAAATATACGAGTTAAAATAGAAAAATTATAGGGAGTACCAACTTTTAATTTTAGTATACAAAAATATTCCAACTCTCTCTCTCTATCAAATCACCCATTCTTAAGTATTAATTTCTCTTCTTGTTTCTCTTCTGTAGAACCAGTAAAAACCCAAAAGCAAAGCCGAAATGGGAAATAGAAGAAGAGTAAAGAATACTTCAACACTCCTCCAAGAAAGCCATAAAAGATTTCCACAACAGGGAAAGAAAAAGGGCATTGCCCAGATCTAATTAAAAGACAAAGAATGTCAAGATATGTGAAATTATTTTTTGAAGATCAAGTAAAATTGGAATTATTGAGATTACTTTTTTCTATATTTTAAGTGATACTGTTGAAACTTTGAAAAACAAACACAAGAGTTAAAAAGGAATGGAAGAAATAATTAGTCTAGTGAGTCGTGACCCTTGTAAGGCTATGCTCACTTCGGCTGATTTGAACTAAACTTTTTTAAGGTTATCTGATCTAATTGAATTTGATCAAATCTAATTTGATCAAAATGGATTTGATACGATCTCATCTGAATGGATCTATTTCAGGTCAAATAATAATAATAATAAAAATAATAATAATAACAATAAATATAATTATATTAATAATAATAATTTATTATTTATGATTTTTAATGATGTTTTCAATAATAAATTTTATTATTAATAATTATAATTTTAATTAAGAATAATAATAATTATAATCATTATATTTTAATAATTATATTTATTATTATTTTAAGTATTTAATATTAATATTAATATTATTATTATTATTATTATTATTAAGTTTTATGATCAATGATGATGATTATCATTATTAATTATAATTATAACTAAAATAATAATTATGGTTAAACTCTATTATTATTGTTGTTAATTAAAAATTATTATTATTATATTTACAAAAAAAGTATTATGAATTGTAATTATCATTATTGTTAATTTATATTTGTTAATAATAATAATAATAATGATTATAACTATTTTAATTATTATTACTATTATTATAATTAATTAGTACTAATGTTATTATTAAGAATGATGATAATAAATTATTACTATTAATTATTATATAAAAATGATAATAATAATTATATTTTTCTTTATCTGAATGGATCTGATCTGAACGAATATGATATGATATAAATAGATCTGATCAAACCTGACCTAATTCTGATTAGAATAAATAATATATAGCAGAAATAAACTGAAGAGAACGTGACTAAAATTATATCACTGATAAAGTAAATAGTTATTCTATCTTAGAATTAAGGTCCACATGTAAAATAGAGCTTTCACACACTTTTGATGGGCTATCCATGCAAACCATTTATTTTATGTAAGAACACTGAAAATACTCGTGAAGCCTCGGGACTTCAAAATTTTTCTTTCTGTCACGTCAGCTTTAACTGACTTCACAGTTTCAGTGGAAAAGGGTTTGAAGCCCTGTGCCTTCAAACTAGGGCTTCAAACCTTCATTTTTAATATTTTAAATATACATCTTCTAAAATTAAATTAATAAAATAGAATTATTTAATTATTTAAAATAATCGAAAGGAGAATAGTTCATTAAAAAATTATATTCATAAAAAAAGATATTGCATCCATAAAAAAATACATTCATTATAAAAAAATTACATTCATTAAATGAATATTACATTCATAAAAAAACAACACTATAAACAAATTACTAATTATTCGAGCGACTGAAGATATGTTCGATCAAATCTGTCGTTAGTGCATTGTGAATCAATAAATTAAATTCAATAAAAAAAGATTACATTGATTATTAAAAATTACATTCATTAAAAATTACTTTCATGATAAAATAAATAAAATACTTGAATAATATTTTTATAAAGAAAGATGATATTTGTGTTGATTTTTTTTTAAAAACAAAGTGATTCAATTTATAGAGAGAGAAAGAGGAAGCTAAGAGTGAGGGAGAAAAATATATTTTTAAATTTGTAAATAGCCGTTGTTGGGGGGCTTCAAAACTTTCAAGCCGCATCAAAACTTTGACGCAATAATTTTAACGGGAAAGTAACGGATGAGGGGGGCGGTGTTACACCACCTCTGCGTCAAAATGTGCATAACGATGGTATGCGTCATGCCCATTACCACTGGTCTAAAAGTCCAATTCTTTTTAGTGATATCAAATGATTAAAGTCCAAAAAGTAAACACCAGAATCTTTTAGGTTAGCCGAATAGCTTACAGATGCGCTTGAACTTTTGTTTGAGGTCAGTCATATGGTCGCTGTTGGTGACACGAAAGTAGTAATCAGGGTAAGTGCTCTGGTCAACGCAGTTGGGCGGCGTGGCGGTGCCGATGGCCAAGATCGCCGCCGGACCCTCCGCCCGTTGGGCCTTTCTCACCTCCTCCACCGTCACCATTCTTTTTCTTTTTTTTTTATTGAAGGAACCGGCAGGGGCCTTTATCTGGCGGTTGTCGGAGAATAGTGTATTAGCTGGTTGGTCTGAGATGGTGATGGGGATTTTTGATATTCATTCAAGTGCATTACTCACTACGTTAGAAGCCGCAGCGATGCCTGATCTTTATATAGCCCCATTGCATGTTCCTCCTATCCTATATACACTATCTCGAAACAAAAAAAAACAACTATGACACATTTATATCAAGAAATGTACTTCAAAATTATACTAAAGATATAAATTAATATTTTAAAAAAATCTACACTAACATTTTGTGCATGTATGAACCATCACCCAAAAATCACAGTGACACAAAATGAAAGTACAAAGATGTAGCCTAGGATGTGTTTAAGGTGACTCAGCTCTTGAGTGTGACATGATGACAAGAGCTTCTTTCCTAGGATGTGTTTGCCCCCGTACGGTGATTGTGATGGTGGGGTATGGGTGCAATGGATCTGCTTGGCCGGCCTTAGCTTGATTCTCATCCATACATGCATTTTCGATCAACAATGAACAAAGTTATTATCAAGCTCGTGGGGAAATATCTCTAAGAACACCCATCTATCGCATGCGCGTCAAATTTATCCGAAAATTCAAATGCCGAGTTTAATGCTTAATAATGCTTTCAACAAGTGATCACTATTACAAAAAATGAAATATTTACACTAAATATATAACACTAAAACTTAAGTCATTTTTCTAAATAGCATTTAAATTGTTTTATTTTTTTTAAATAGAATTTAATAATATCCAGAAGGAGGAATAATGTTTAGTGATGACGAACATATATCTGAATAATGACTAATGGATAATGACTAAAAGTGCTACATTTGGAAAAAAACATACTCCGTATATGATGCTATTTAGGAAAAGTCATTACCCGAGTATGTTTAGTGTTATTTAAGTAAATTCTCCCTACAAAATAGATCAATCTTTTGTAACAGTTTATGGAAAACATTTATATAAGTGTTACTTATTACTACCTCCGTCCATGAGTATTTGTCCAGTTTTGACTTTTTTGGTCAACTATTTTCAATCTTTGACCTATAATTAAATAAAATATATATTGTATATTAATTAGATAAAATAATATCTTGAAAATATTTGATATGATTAATCTAATAAAATTATTTTTGTATCAATATCTAATATCATTTTTATTTAATTTAAAGTCAAAGTTTACCAATTTTGACCAAAAAAGTCAAGAGTGGACAAATACTGAGGGACGGAGAGAGTACTATATAGTGCAACACTTAGGTATCATTTTCTGGTAACTGTTACATAAAGTACATTATTATTACATAACACTTGTGAAGAAGTGTTACCAATAAAAAAAGGGCAACACCATGAAAGTGTTACATGCATTATCTATTTTACAATAATACTCCCTCCATCCTACAATATATTACCCATTTTGATGTATTTTTGGTCAAACAATTACACGTTTTGGCCATAAATTAATTAAATGTAATCTAAATAAAGAAATGTTATTAAAATTTGATATATCAAAACTAGATCATAAGATTAATCCAATTATATTAAATTTATATTATAATTCAATATACTTTTCTCACAATTTGTAGTCAAAGTGTGTAACTGTTTGACCAAATATTATTCAAAATGAGTAATATTTTGTGGGACGGAGGGAGTATATACCATGAACATATTAAAGCTTCTACCAATAAAAAAAATACTCCCTCCGTCCCGGAGGATTTATCCATTTTTTTACTTTTTTCGGTCAAAATTAGTAAATTTTGACCTCAGATTAAATTAAAATGATATTCTATATTGATACAAAAATAATTTTATTAGATGTATTATATCAAATATTTTCAAAATATTATTTTGTTTAATTCATATACAATATATATTTTATTTAATTATAAGTCAAAGGTTGAAAATAGTTCACCAAAAAAGTCAAAATTGAACAAATACTCAGGGACGGAGGTAATAGTAAAGTTTTAATTGCCATTGTAGCACGTGTGTGGCCCAGCCCATAAGGGCCATGCGGACTTGACGTATATCACTCGCAGTCCTTGTCAAGATCAAGAGTCATCAGAAGAGGACATAGAGCGGAGACGGGATGGACTTTTCTGCTACTTCAATTCCGTCCAACAATAATGTTTCCGTTCTGCGTTACAATATTTGACTAAAATTGTTTTCAAAATCATTTAATATAAAAGATTACATTACGTATGAAATTTAATAATAAAAATTACATATTAGAAAAACTACATGAAAAGATCTATAAAACTAAAGGTGACATGATTATATTATTTTATCAAATGAGCAACGAAAATATGCCAACAAATTAAAGTGAATAAAGTTTGACCTTGTGAATGAATAATGAATGTGAACATTATTATTATTGGAGTGAGGAAATATTATTTATGAGAGCCTCATCTGTTTTGGGTTGGGAATATTTGGGTTGGAATATGCATGGAAACAGCTTAACAATGTCATGTGTGGGCAGTGGCCACTACCACCAATGAAATGGAAGTTGTAGTTTTCTTTAGACTGAACGTTTGTGTTGTTACATATAGCTTAATTAAATGAAATTTAGATTTTTCTCAAGTGTTATTGTGTCAAAAAGCATATGTAATAGTAATAGATGTACTAATAGTACTAACACTACTCGTAGTAATAATAATACTTCCTCCATCCAAAAATAATATTCTCATTGCGCGTTGCGATATTTGACTGAAATCATTTTAAAATCATTTTATATAAAAAATCGCATGGAATTAAAAAATAAAAATTACATATTTAAAAATTACATGAAAAAACTACAAAGCTAGAGGTGACATGACTATATTATTTTATCAAATAGATAACGAAAATACGACAATAAAGTGAATAAAGTATTACTATGTGAATAGTGAGCAAAAATATTATTATTAGACGGAGGAAGTAATAATTGAAATAAAAAAATAAAAATAAAAACAACAACAACAATAATAGTTAAATAAAAAAATTATGAAACATCGAGTTAAAAAAATAAAGATGTGTTACATTAAAGGAGACAAGTGTTGCTTCGCATTTTAAAAGCGTTACAAGGCAAAATAATGATGTTACCATGAGTTATCAAAGTGTTGCTTAAAAGTTTAAAATTGTTGCATCATCTTTAAAAATAAACGTTGCTAAAAGTATTGCTTTAAGTGACACTTTATATATGTGTTGCTTAAATTAATGATAAGTGATGGATGACAATTCTATCTGAATCCGACTTTTACCGACCCGATCGGAGTTTGTAATATTCGAATCCGAACCAAAAAATCAAATATCCGAAACTGACCCAAAAAAATTTAAACCGAACCCGACTTTTGTCGGGTCGGGTTTGGGTTAGTATATTTGACCGACCTGACCTGTACCCAACCCGACCCGGCATGTACCCGACTTTTAATAAGTTATTAAAACCCTAAATTCCTATATTCCATGTATTTTTTATGTACATATTTTTAATGTTTTAAAACTTAATGCATTTTTGTGTTTCATTTTTATTGTGGTTTAATCTTGTGTGTCATACATATGTTATTTTCTTTGTAATTAATTCGTATATTATTATTTGAAACTTACTATTTATTTATTTAAGGGTCATAATTATTTTTGTTAATATCTTAAATTTATAGTCATCTTTAAAATTTCAAATTTATAATGAATTTCAATCTTAAAATTTTCATGAATACTTTTATTAATTAGTATTCAAACCTGAATTTGACCGCAACCGACCCGGCCGAATCTTGAACCAAATCCGAAACCGAAAAAATAAATATCTGAAACCAACCCGCCAAAATCAAATTCAAACCCGACCTAAGTCGAGTCGGGTCTCAATATACTCAAACCCGACCGAACCTGACCCGTTGCCATCCCTAAATTAAGTCTTGCCTTATATCCAATGCGACACAATATAATGCAACACTATTAAAAGTATTGCTATAACTATATAGTGCTCTTTCTGTTCTGGAGTATTTGTATATTTTAAACTTTTTTCAGACAAAATCGATAAGTTTTGACTCCAAATTAAATAAAAAATGATATTAGATATTGATATAAAAATAGTTTATTAAATTTATTATATAAAATATTTTCAAAATATTTTATATCGAATTAATATATAATATATATTTTATTTAATTATAAGTCAAATGCTAAAAACAATTTACTAAAAAAATACTCCGAGACGGAGGTAGTAACACTTCAGCTATTTGATGTAGCACTTTACTAGCGTCACAAAAGGTTTTACTTTTGGGAGTTTCTATCACGTATCATAAAACATCCATCCAACCAAAATTGTCTTTAACGTCATGCATAATGATCATTTTATCTTGGATAAAATATTTATTAATAACGAACCAACCCAAATACTCCTCATCCCCCAATAAATAACATATTTTTTCGTTCGTGTGTAAATAAATAATATATCTCGATAAAAACTATGTGGTCGTCGATATTTATTTATCTTCAAATCAATTTCAATAATACATTTTTTATTTTAAAATAATTTTTAAAAAATTTTTGCGAGCAACTAAAGTAAATGGAGAGGGGTAAATACAAAATAATAAAAACTCCGACATATTGGAGCAACCTATTTGGTCATTACTCTCATTTGGGAGGTCTTAAGTTTGAATAACTGTAAAAGCGAACGTGTAAAAGCGAGATAAAAAAAATTTCTATGAACGAATCTCTAATATTTTAAATTAGTATTTTGGTCGGATCAATTGCAGACATCTTGTTTTCGTCATTTTCCTCGACATTGCGAGATTTTGAATATCCGAATAAGGTAAGAATCAACAAAATTAATCACACACTGACCAACCAACATAATGACCAAAATGTCCTTCAACTGTAATTACCAAAATGTCCTCCAACTGCAATGACCAAAATGTCCTCTTCTAAAACAGCACAATGGCTGCAAGCCTGCAATTATATAACTAACCCATCTATTTTCCCAAGTCACATACTCACATTGTTACTGTAATTTTTCTTTTTTCTACTTCACCCGTCGAAGACGACGACTTCAAACCTTACACCTAAGAGGAGGGCTGATCAGTAGGGCGATGCCTTGCTCGTCGACTGTAAATTCCGGCGACGGCAATGCAACTTTGCTCAATTTCAGACTGAACGAGTCCACTTTCCTCGCCTCTC